TTGATTGATTGATTGATTGATTGATTGATTGATTGATTAGTGGGAAAGGGTGGCATGCACACTTACAGGCTATGAGGGAGCGGGTTGGGAAGATGTTTTCCCCTTGTAGCTCTTATGACACGAAGTGGATAAAGAAACAAAGGTCAGGGTTTGAACGGTTTCTACCTTGTCGTCGTTATTTTTACAATCATTGCATCAGATCACGTTCAAACACACCTATCATACAAACATGACACCTATCATACAAACATGCCATTCAACTTACTTACGGGATTTGCATTAACAACATGAAAGACAACACAAAAAAGGACAACAACTCACAACGACATAAACCGATTCCATTAAACTTTCATCGGTCGTGAACAAACAATGACAAAAAGTCCGTCCAATTCACACTTCATCGAAGTCGGGGACGCTGACAACAAGTCCACAATTAACCGAGTGTCATTAATGCTGGTCCACAGAAAACGGGACAACGCGGCAGCATTGATTGCCTCTACCCGCAAAAAAAACACGGGGAAGAAGGATCGACTCTCCACTTCTTTGCGCCCTAACAAATGGAATCTCGGAGCTATGTAATGTTCACCAGGAACGGAAAAAAATACAAGGGCGTAACCCATCGTCACAAGGTTTGCCCGTCGAACACGTTCCGCTCCTCCTCCTCTCTCTCTCTCTCTCTCTCTCTCTCTCTCTCTCTCTCTCTCTCTCTCTCTCTCTCTCTCTCTCTCTCTCTCTCTCTCCCTCTCTCTCCCCGTGCAGTATACGCCAAAACGCAGAAGAATCTTCGCATCCCCGAAGTCACGCACGATGTCTACTCAAAACCATCGAGAACAATCCCGATCTCGCCATGCAGATACTCACGACCGTATAGTGGCGGGTCCACGTGGACCCTGTACGCACCAGCCTCGTCTAAGCGATCATTGAACTCCATCGCCACGTTGGAAACAAGAAGATCAATGAGATCGGCGAGAACATCAACACCGAAATCCCACCGATCGGGAATCGCATCCCCGACCTTCGTCGCGAAAGCGACAACGTGCGTGAGCAATCCACGGGCGAAACCGTAACCGACAGTCAAGCGCAGGCAAGCGCGCCCATTCTCATCCACCTCAAAGTGCCTCACTTCATGATGTGTAACCATCTGCACGAAGTCAAACGCCCGTCCGCAGTCCCTATCTCTGCGGTGTCTCATTTCGTAAAAGACGACCGTCCGCCCCGCAATCCGCCCTCTCAGCGCGACCACGACGTCCATGCTCTCCCTGAACACGCTGAACCTACAAATGAACAACACCACCCGCAAGACTGCCACACGTCCTCGCTTTGCGCACCTTCCCCCCTTGCACCGCAATGAACACCCCGACCATCTGCCACGCGTCCACGGTTTGCAAACCGGTGAAGGTATGTGCAACGACCTTCACCGCCCGTGCTGCGCAAGTCGTCCACGTCGTCCGCGATGACCAGCACGACCACCCCACTTGACCGACCACTGCACAGTCGCAGAATGCTACCGATCATCATCGGCTGTCCCCGTTTTTATAGGCGTGAGTGACGGTGATTGAAACCATACCCGTGCAGCACTGGTCGGATCGCGTGCAAACGAACGAACCGCCAAAAAAAAATAATAATAAAGGACACGTCGGAAGAAAAAAAAAAATAGAATACACAAAAGGGATAAAAAAATCCTCAAATTCGATATAAAAAAAGTGTCCACATCAGTAAGGGAGCGGGATCGTCAATGCCGCTTGAGGTGAAATAACATCATGAATATAGCGTTTTTTTTTTTTTTTCCGACAACGACGAAAGTCATCGCTAGCTGGACAATGCCGACGCTATCTTCAGCAGAGCATCGCAAAGCATCCGCTGGCCGGCGTCCAGCACATCGCATTGCCTTTCCTGCGTCATCGCTTCACGTTCCATTATGTCGCATTGTCGCTTAAGCACCTCACACTGTCGTTTGCTTGCGCGGTCCATGGAATTGGTGACGACGGTGGAGTGGGTCTTCATGACATCAGTCACAGAGTCGAACGCGAGCTGGCGGGCATTCTTCCTCTTTCCGTGGGGTGCGGAACCTGACGACCGGGTGCCGCACCCATCACCGCCTTCACCTTCACCGTTTTCACTGGCGGATGTCTCGCCTGTGGCCGGTGGCCCGTGGACATGGCTTTGCTCGCCTTGTTGGGACTGTTGAGGTTGGGGAATGCCCGAGTCCGCCAGATTTGGCGGATGTATAGCCTGGTTGCCCTGCTGCATCCCGTCAATGGCGTCATACACCATCCGGTCCATCGTGAACTTGTACCCCAGCTGCTTGCGCTGCTTCGCCGTCAATGTGAAGAAGGATTGTACACCCGACTCCTTCTCCCTCTCAAGCACTTTCTTGTAATGGCCAATGACGTTCTCCCACCTCTTCATGCACGAGTCCCAGTCTCGCATTACACCTTGCTGCCTCATCYGGTTTGATATGTCCGTCCACTTCCACTCTTYCGTCTTCAWCCGCRCGAAGTTACTACCARCATTCGCGAGGTAGTCCTCCTGATCCCTCTTGCACYGCACAAGAACGAGGGATTCRTTCAGATCCCACAGCCCCCTCCTGTTCCCGCCCCCCCCCTCGCCACCTTTCTTGGCCTTACCTTTCCCACGGCCATTGCTTCCTTTTTTCTTGCCCCCACGAGCTGTCACTTCTTGAACAACGTCCTCCTCCTCCTCATCAGTATCCGAGTCATCTTCGTCRTCGYCATCGACTTCACCCTCTTCCTCACAACCCGCGTTYCCGACGCCGCCCTGTTCACCTTGGCCCRTCGCACGCATGTTTGACACTCGCGCTAYGATTCGTTCAATGAYAGGCRGGGATTCCGCAGCCGTCGTCCCACCCRTTACACCCCTCTGCACGCTATCCGCAGCAGCCGCACCAATGTCCTTCATCGCCACTTCTTGTTGCCGATTCACTGACGCGCTGGACAATCCCTTCGTAGGCACGTCCGTTGCAACTGTCATGGGACGGCGGCCATCGCTGCTGTGGTCGACGATCAGCGTCCTCGAGACGTGCATGCTGCATGAAGGGGATAGATGAAGATCAAGAGGATGTCCGCCCCCTTCGCGAACTTCGCCGAGGAGCGCAGACATGGGCCCCAAGGAACTGGCACGACGGTGAGGTATCCCCACTGTGTCGTAAGAAGTCTGCGTCGACCCCCATTCAAGTGGAAGAGTCGATGGAGGCGGTTCCCAATGATTATCGTCTGGCAGGGGCTGTTGCCAAGAGGGGAGATGCGAGTACAACACTGGATCAAAACGATGTTCCCGCACATCCGTCCCGCTGGTAAAGCCTGCCCCTTCCATCCCGTGCTCTCGCCCCGCCCCTGAACGATAATCCCCCATCGACTTTTTTGCACCTACGAACCTAACCTTCTTCTTCGACGACTTCGGCCGACGCTGTACTGCAGCCCGCCTGCCTAGCTGCCACAGCTGGACGACAAGAACGTCTAGCAAGGCGAACAGGAGGAGAGCGAGGAGAGCAGTCTTCCTCAACAGGTCTGCCATATGCACGTGCGTCGTCAGAATGCGACAACAGGGCAATGGACAACTATGTAACACCCTCGGCGGTGGCCATCCTCGGCCGAATCCGCGGACGCGCAGCTTTGAAGCCACGTGGCGGCCGCGCGGGATCGACTTTCAAAAAATGGGAGACGCCATGTGGCGGCGCATCCCCGGCCCCACCCCCCCCCACAAAAAAAAACCGAAAAAGCTCAACTTTTGGATGGGGGGTAATGGGCGAAATGGAAAGAAATTGAAAAAAAAAATAAAAAACGCATTTTTTTTTGTTTTTTTTTTTCTTCCATTGATTGCTTGATTGATTGCTTGCTTGCTTGCTTGCTTGATTGATTGATTGATTGATTGATTGATTGATTGATTGATTGGTTGATTGGGGCGGGGTCGCCCCGCCCCGCCTTTGATTGATTGATTGATTGATTGATTGATTGATTGACTGATGGGGGAGACCCCAGCGATTGATTGATTGATTGATTGATTGATTGATTGATTTATTGATTAATTAATTGATTTGTTTATTTCTTTATTCAATTTTGTTGTTCTTTTTTTTTTTGTTG